CTTCTCAGCTCGTGGGATTGGAACTGGCTTCTACCCTCAGACTGCACCTTCCCACTCTCTGTCACCGTCCATTCAGAGTTCCATTATTTCAATTCTCTAATCTTACCTGGGTGATTTCATCCAGTTCCACATCTTCAACGGTTCTAACAAAGGTGTCTACATTTAGACATTCATACACCCCGGAGCAGCTATGAATATAACCCAATACAAGACCATTAACTCGCTTAAACATTCTGAGATGGTTTCATTGTGTGTGTGTGTGTGTGTGTGTGTGTGTGTGTGTGTGTGTGTGTGTGTAACTTCATTGTGTGGCTAGCAAGGGTGAACTTTGCAAATGACAGCATCATATCACAATGTCACACAAAATAAATACATGTATTCTCTTAAACCCAGATGCTTCAGGTTGGACACCCCTGTGCTTAATGTGTGGCCGAAGACAATTTTATCCTATATAGCCCAGAGAAGCCAAATGGTTGGGCACACTGTTCTAGAATCTTTATCAGCTCTCTCTCTCTCTCTCTCTCTCTCTCTCTCTCTCTCTCTCTCTCTCTCTCTCTCTCTCCCTCCTTGGATCTATGAAAAACTCATTCATTCATCCGTTTATCCATTTATCCTTGCATTCCCTCACTTACTAAGCAGACTGAACACACTGATGTGTTAGCCACTGTTTTCAAGAACCAAACAAACCAAGCATCTGCTCTTGGAAGTTTAGCAATGCAATGGCAACAGTATACATCAGTACATAAGAAAGATGGCTGCTCGTTCCCAGCGAGGGCCTGCAGAGTAATGGGCCAGGGCCAGGGGGCCCAGGGCCAAGGAAGCTGCATGGGTCAGAGTTAAATGAGGAAACAGAGGCACTGCGGTACTGAGAAATAAAGACTAGGTCTGGAAAGATGGCTCAGTGTTCAATAGCACTTACTTCTCCTGCAGAGGACCCGGGTTTGGTTCCCAGTACCCACAGGGTGGTTCACAACTGCCCGTAACTCCAGCTCCAGGGGATTCATTTTCCCTTCTGGCCTCTGAGGGTAGCGGAATGCATGTGATGCCCCTAAACTCATACATGTACACATAGACATGAAAATAAATGAACAAGTAAGTAATGCCTTTTAAAAGAACAGGTTTGAGGAGATAGTCCAGTTCAGTACTTGCCTCTTGTGAGCATGGGATCCTAGTTCAAAACCCAGAACCTATGTATATATCTTTAAAAGCCAGGTGTGGTGCTGGTGCACACTTGTAATCCCAGCACTGGGGAGGCAGTGATGGACAGATCTCTGAACTCACTGGCCAGCCAGCCTAGCCTTCTTAACACGATCCGGGCTGATGAGAGATGCTGTCTCATCATGAAAAGTGGATAGTTCCTGAAGAATGATTCTGCAGACGGCCCCCTTGTCTCCACACCACGTGCTCATATCTGCACAGGCCCACACATGCACATATCCCCTCCCAATAGGATGCATATAAGAATATGAAATCACACATCTGTGAAGCAAGCTAAGGAAACAATGGCCCCAAAGTGGGGAGCTGAGGATGAGAAGAAAGTCATCCATTCACAGTCAGCCATGCCCGGAGGGAAACCCAGCAGCTTTGTCTGTTGGATGAAGCAGGGATGAAGGAAGAGAAGAATTCTCCGGTTCTCTCCCACCTGGACTGCACCAGGGTCTCCAACCTGTCTTGCTAAGGCTGCCTTAGCCCCTTTGAGGTGTGTGTGGCAGCAGAGCCGAGGCAGTGTGTTCAAACCCAGTCCTGATCACGTTCACTCCTTCCCTAAGACACTTCTACTCTGTGGCCTTGAAGGTGCTGTTCAGGTGTCTTTGTAAGGCCCATGCACTGACAGGGCCCCTGGGAACCTTGCATCTGCCTTGATCTCCTCTCCTGCTCCCCCATTTGATGCTCCTGTCCCAGAATAACCAGGAAATCCCCAGAACTTAGCTCATCTTTCTGTTCCTGCAGTCTTCCAGACTGGGGGGGGGGGAGGGCTCTATCCCTAATTTTCTTCTCCTTGCTAGTCTTACCATCCAGGACTTACTCAGGCCCATGCCCCTCCAAGGAGCTTCTATGACACCTGCCAGCACACATGCCTACCTTCCTCCACGCTTCCCTGGCATCCTCCTTGTCTCTCTCTTGGGGAATTAGAGGCTTACTTGTCAGTGTGCCTCTCTTGGTTGTTAGGGCCTCGAGGAAGGAGCTGGGGCCCAAGGCAGTGCAGGCACCTAATGGGAATTTGCTCTAAATTAACAAAGACGTACAAGAGCTGCACAAGAAAACGTAAATGTGTGGTTTTTCTGCAATACTGACGCAAAAGATGGAACATAAGTTTTTGTCTGTAGGAAGATCACAGTTTATAAAAGAAATAGTTGAAAACTGTGTACATCGTGGAAGGAACAGGCTATCTGGAGAGATTCATCTCCCAGGACTGCTAATGATTTTGTTTCTTTCTACAGTTCAGTTTTATACTGTTACTTTGAAGTTGGAGAGAAAAAAAAAAAGGCCTTTTAAACTTTTTTCTTGAAAGTAATAAATTGCTCTCTTACCACCCCGTCCTATTTTCACACTCACAGTCTTCCTAATTTTCTCAGGATGAGAAGCTCTGACTTGAACAGGAAAAGCCAAATTTTCCTTTCAGTGGGAGCTGCCTGACCTGTCTCCTCCCTGTCATCTGTTCCCAGGCACCATCTGCCAGGAAACATGTTCTCGCTTCTTCCTCCTTCTTCTGGCTTGGTGTGGTAAACGTTTTCAGAGGGAGGGGCTGGCATTCATCAAAAGGGAGCACTGATGGCTGTTTATAGAGACACAAACACCCCAGGTGTGGGCGTCCAAATCCCACTTTTGGTGCCCCAAAGAATAATATAATCCCAGAAGATAAAATGGGAGCAAGGGAGAGTGTTGTTTCCAGGTGGCATTGTGTCCCCAATCCTGGTGTAGAACTGAGCCAGGTCTCCCAGGTTGGGTGATCATTTCCCTTCTAACTGAGGTCCATCTTGGATGCCAGCCCTCTTACCAAGCAAGGAAGCTCAATCCCGGGCATTGTAGGCTGGAGAGAAGAAGGTAGGTGGTGTGCTAGGGTCCCAAGCAGCAGTGATGTAGAATGACCCACTGTACCAACCTAATCAAAGCAAGTAACCAACCAGAGACAGCATCCTAGTAGTGGGGACCAACATTTGACTGTGAGCATCTTCATCCTGGTAGGAGGAAGATAGTAGAAAGTGAAAAGGAACTTCATCCTCTTAACAGAGAGTGATCTTTTAAGTTAATTTTGTTTTACACAACCCCAAGTCTGAGTTCATTGTGAAATTGGGCTGTCTTTAGATACCCAACTCTCCATCTTTGTTTGGATTATATTGTACCAGTTCTCATTCGCCAGCTGCCTTGAAAGCTTTGGGTGAAACCTGTTTTGAATAGTTCAGCGCTTTCCCATATCTGTTGGGAAGGCTTCCTCCTGCCATTTTCAGGCACTTTGGGCCAGGGTAAAGCACTTGGACTTGGGACAGGAGAGATGGCTTAGGGGTTGCTAGCAATGTCTGCTCTTGTAAAGATTCCAATTTGGGTTCCAAGCACCTACACAGCAGTTCACAATCATCTGAAACTCTAGTTCCAGGGAGTCCAGTGTCTTCTTCTGGTCTCCTGAGACAGCTTGACCATACAGAGCTCATATACACACATGCATGCAAACAGTCATGCACATAAAAAGAAAGAATACATACTTAAAAGATAAGAATAAATAAATCTTAAAGGAAAAAGATACTTGGACCTGACCTCATGAGGTAAAGGGTGAGCCCTGGAAGTTTCCAATCAATAGATAGCCTTGGTTGGTATGATGTCCTGAAAAGAATATTCTAGCATCCACATTCACAGCAGATAGGCCATGCTGAGACTTCTGACAAGGAGTCATTGTGCTTGTTCAGTGAGAGATAATAATAGAATGATGCTATCATTTTAATATGTCCACTAAGTGTAATGTGCTTGAAACTTAACCCTAAATTTATAGGTCAACAGTGTTTGGATATAAACCTTTGAGGGTAATTATATCAGGCACTTGTGAGGAGATTGATACACAGATTAATGGATTATGGAGTGGGTGGTTTTATTTTTTAATCTCTTCATACTTTAAGAATTTCATTCAATGTATTTTGATCATATGCACTCCCTACTCCTACTCCTTCCCTAACTCCTTCAAGATTCCCCAACATCCCTATCCCCCAACTTTGTGTTCTTTAAAAAATACAATTTAAAAACAGTATGATTTTTGTTGCCCATATACTCCTGGGTATGAGGTCATCCACTAGAGTGTGGTCGATCTATAAAGAGCCACACCAAAGAAAACAGACTCTCCCTCTCCCAGAAGCCATCAGCTGTTTATAATTCCTCAGTTAAGAGTGGAGGTTCATGAACCCCTTCCCAGTCTATGCTAGAGTGTTGACTGGCTGGATTTTTTACAGGTCTTGTGCAGGCAACCACAGCTGCTGAGTTCATCAGTGCAGTGATCCTTTTGTATCTAGAAGACACTGTTTCACCTGGTCTTTCCTGACCTCTGGATCTTAAAATCTTTCCCCTTTTCCACGATGGCCCCTGAGTGTTGTGGAATAATCCTCTTGTACATTGTAAATATTTGTCACTCAGATTGGTTTAATGAAACACAGATTGGCCAGTAGCTAGGCAGGAAGTGTAGGCAGGGCAACAAAACTAAGGATGATGGGAAGGAGAAGAGTGGAGTCAGAGAGTTGCCAGCAAATGCAGAGAAGCAAAATAAGAATGCCATACTGAGGTACTGAGAAAAGGTACCAAGCCATGTGACTAAACATAGATAAAAATTAAGGGTTAATTTAAGTGTAAGAGCTTGTTAGTAATAAGCCTGAGCTACTGGCCAATCATTTATAATTAATATAAGCCTCTGTGTGGTAATTTGGGAAGTGGCTGCTGGGTATTTGGGAACAGGCAGTCGGGACAAGAAATGTCTAATTACATATGGTGCCTAATGTGAGGCTCCAGATGAAGGGTAAATCTAATGAATCTCATCAATAAAAACGAGGAGTCAGATATTGAGGTAAAACCTGAAAGATCAGAGAAGTAGGAGAGCAGCCACAGTTGCTTCCTTCCTCTTGTATTCCTCCAGTCCAAAAGGACCAAGATCCTGTCTCTGCCCTACCTTATCACTTTCTGTTCCTCTCTGTACAGACCTCCAGACCTCTGCAGTTAACTAGTAGCTAGCTCTGCCCTCTAACTCCAAGCAAACTTTATTTGTCAGAACACAAACAAAATATCACACAGCACCTGAGCCTTTTTTTTTTGGGGGGGGGGGCTCAGATGTCCCATTCATGACCGAACTAGGAATGGTTTTTTGTTTTTGTTTTTGTTTTTGTTTTTGTTTTTGTTTTTGTTTTTTTTTTTGTTTTTTTTTTTTTGTTTTTTTGTTTTTTTTTTGCAAAAGCAAGCTCTCTCTGGCTTGCTTATACTACCTCTTTCATGTGAAGCCAACCACTAGGTTACATACAGAATTAAGCCCCACCAGCAAAATTGTTGGTGGGGCCTTGCTCCTTAACTTTTTTAAACTCCAAAAGCATACCCTCAAAAAATATCTATTCTTGATAAATTATCTGGTCTCAGGTGTTTTGTTACAGAAACAAAAAAGAGCTAAGACTGTAGGGGTTTTTTTGTTTTTGTTTTTGTTTTTGTTTTACTCTTTACTTTTTGGGAGCCTACTGCCCAGCTCCCAAATAATCACACAGAGACTTATTCTTTCTTATGAATATCTGGCCTTATCTTGGCTTATTTTCAGTCTGATTTTTACTCTTAAATTACCCCATCTACCTTTTGATTCTGGGCTTTTACCTTTTTCTGTTTCTGTATACTTTTCCTTTCCTTCTTATTCTGTGTCAAGCTGTATGGCTGTGTGGCTGACCCCCAGTAGCCTCCTCTCCTCCTTTTCTCGTTTCTTGATCCTCCTCCCAGATTTCTCCTTCTATTTATTCTCTCTGCCTACCAGCCCCACTTATCCTTTCTCCTGCATAGCTATTGGCCATGCAGTTCTTTATTAGACCAATCATCTGTTTTAGACAGGCAAAGTAACACAGCTTCACAGAGTTAAATAAATGCAACATAAAATAATGCAATGCATCTTTGCATCATTAAACAAATATTCCACAGCATAAACAAATGTAACACATCTTCAACTAATATTCCACAACATAAGACCCCTGAACTCTGATTTGAGGAGGCTGTTCTAATAAAGTAGGGAAGATTTGAGAACCATTTCTAAGGTAGATTTAGAGAGATTAGAGAAATTGGTTAGAACTGAAGAGTAAGTATTACATCCAATGGCCATAGATTTGGAATCAAATACACAATGATGAGTCTACTCAAGACATGTAACACATAAGGGGAGCAGGCGCTAACAGAACAATGAGTTTGAGATGCCTGAGAGATGCTTGGGGGAATTTTCAGGATAGATAGATAGATAGATAGATAGATAGATAGATAGATAGATAGATAGAAAGATAGATGAGGTGCTGTGGGACGGTCTGTATGTCAAATTGCTCTGATTGGTCAATAAATAAAACACTGGTTGGCCAGTGGCCAGGCAGGAAGTAGGTGGGACAAGGAGAGAGGAGAATTCTGGGAAGCGGAAGGCTGAGGCGGAGAGACACTACCAGTCGCAGCCATGACCAGCAGCATGTGAAGACGCCGGTAAGCCACCAGCCACGTGGCAAGGTATAGATTT